ACAAGTTAAAGATTTTTAAAGTAAATACCCTATGGTTTGGAGAGAGACGGTCATAAGATAGATATTTTGCAATTAGGTGATTAGTGCAAGAACGAGTTCCTTTTCTAAGTGCAATAAGAACATCAAGATCACAATATTCATGAGAAACAACATTGGGTAAAACAAGAGGTAAACACAACATTGGGCAAATAGGAGGTGAAATAGGAGGATAAATATTTTGAAAAGTGTTTTGAGTACTCGAATCCAAGGTAATGGATTGACTAGGTGTTGAAGGAATGATAGGTTCTTAACCCTTTTGATGTTTCTTTCTCCTTGCATAAACAATGACCTCGGGTTCTCGATCCTTAGGATTATTTTACGGTATTTCTCTTTATCAAAGATTCAATAATGTCCGGCAAAACAATATTCTTATCAATAGAAATGGCTTTGTCATTTTCAAAAACGCTAGGTGTAAAGACCACTATTTGAGATAAAGTAGTAAAAATAGATATATTGTCCCAACTATTTTCTTCCTCTAAACTCTCCCCCGAAGAAAATTCTCTTGAAAATAAGGTTGATTTTCAAGAAATAAAACATCCATAGTAACTATGACTTTTCGGATCTTTGGATGAAAACACTTGTATCCACTTTTATTTGATGCATATCCAATAAAAACATATTTTTCAACCCTTGGAACAAGCTTGAACCGATCCTTATTGGGTAAATGAACATAAGTCGTGCACCTAAATATTTTAAAGGGTAAATTGGATGAAATTCGATTTTCGGGAAAGAAATTTTTAAAGCACTCAAAAGGAGTAATGAATTTAAGTATACGAGTAGGTATTCTGTTTATCAAAAATGTTACCATTAAAACTGCTTCGCCTAGAGATACTTAGGGATATACATAGAAAACATAAGAGACCGAACAACTTTCAATAAGTGTCAATTTTTTTTGCTCGGCTATACCATTTTGTTGAAGTGTATCAACACAAGTGGATTGATGATGGATGCCTTTATCTTTTAAAAAATTTATAAGAATTTCATTGAAATATTTAGTACCATTATCAGTATGAAAAATACCAAATTTAGTTTGAAATTAAGTTTCAATCACGTGATAAAAATTTTGGAATATTGTCTTTACTTCGATTTATCAGCCAAGTAAATATACCCAACACAACCTAGTATGATCATCAACGAAGGTTACAAATCTTTTTTTCCCGAATAAGTAAAAATCCATGAAGGACCCCATACATCACTATGATTAAATAAAATGGCCATAAAGGTTGATAAGGTTTTGAAGGATAAATATTTTTATGGCGTTTTGACAAAATGCAATGTTCATAATGAAAAAAAGAATTATCCAAGCCTTTAAATAAGGTAGGAAACAATTTTTAAGATAAAGAAAATTAGGATGCCCTAGTCTATATTACCGAGCATTATTTTATCTTTAATAGAGATAGAAATGATACTACTTAGTCCTTGAGGTCTTTTATCCTTGGAGACTTCATCTTCAAAATAGTAAAGACCATTAATTATTCTAGCACTGCCAATCTTTTTTCTCGAATTCGGATTCCGAAACACACAATAGGAATCAAAGAAAGTGACACTACAATTAGAATCTTTTGATAATTTGCTACCAAACAAAAGATTGCATGCAAGTTTTGGTACATATAGAGCGATTTAAAGCATAAAGCATCCGATAAATATAATCAAACATTTGCCAACAATAGGTGAGTAGGACCCATCCGTTATACGAATTTTTTCATTACCCGAACAAGGAACATAAGTATGAAACAAATTTGAAAAACTTATCATATTGTCGGATGCTCCAGAATCAATGATCCATTGACTAGATTATGATAAAGAGTAACACACTAACGTATTTAAATCACTAACTATTTGTGCTAAAGAAGCATTAGGAATACCGGATAATCCAAAATTGGATTTGAGCATGGAGTTCTCTACATCCCAAACCGAATAGGTCGGATCATCCAAGTTTGGCTCCTTCTTCTTACCCGTTGAATAACCAATCTTTCCCCTATCCTCGATGTACATGTGCATAGATTGAGACTAGCACAAGAAATTGTCTTCATTTAGTTTAATAGTGGTAATCTAAACCGAGTGAGAATCTAAAGATAAGTCATAAGGATTCTTTGTCTTGTTATCTTTGGTTTTGTAAAAGGTAGATGGATGGACAAGAGTGGGGTGTAGAATCCGATGTAATTTCGGACATGGTGGTGAGAAAGAAAATAAATTAGAGTGGTTGACGGCTAGGGTTTTTTGTTTAGAGAAAATAGACCAACTCGATACCATATTAAAGGACCATCTCGCCTAAAAGCTTAAGCTAATATACGAAGCCCAAGAATATAATTTATAACAATCTCTAACATGCCCTCTCAAGTGAAAGCCTTAACATTTGGGCTTAAAACTTGCACGAGTCCACATTGTCTTGTGATTAATACTTGAGAAATTGAGAATGGTAAGACTTGAACTCGGGACCTCTAGGTCGCCTAAGCTCGATACCATGTGAATTGATATGAAAGCAAGAAATATTGATTGTATTGTCGTACCTCTACTGGTATTACAACTTACATATATATAGCCACATATAACATCTAAAGAAATTACAAATTAGGAAATTAAAGCTATAAATCTTCATAAACTCCTTGACTAGAGCCTTAAATTTTTATATTTACATCCTACAATACACCTAGAATATTCTAAATAAAATATTTCCTATGCCAACATTCATCAAACGTATTCCCCGCAAACCAACGAATGGGGTCATGTACATAATGTCCCGCCCAAGTCATGTATCAAAGTTTAAAGAGACCTAACAAATGAAAACGATGGTAATGTTTATGGCGAGAAGATAAAGTGGCTAGAAAGTTACGTGAGCAAGTATGAAATCAATTATAACGCTATAGAATAACCATATATTCTAATTGTCTACGTTCCATTACATGAACCTTGGAAACATGTCTAAAATTAAAATAGTCAACATAGAAATCCAAACTTCCCATGCTACTCTCCTAAATTATCAAAGGTTTATGATTCCCAAATCATACAAACCGAATCTTATTACAAACTAAAGTACAATCAGCTATATGAATAACAAAAAATTAAAAGAGCATCCAAGGGAAATATGCATTAAGATTAGTTGCTAACCAAACACTACAAAATTACGTCCTATTTCTAAAATCAGCGACCATCTTCATCAACACAATTAAAACATACGTCCCATTGAGAAGTTGATGCATGTTGATTTTGGAACGAGTATGATAATCATATCTTAGATAAACCTACTCGCCTAGATCTCAAACACAAATAACCTTATTTTTATTTTATTTATTTTAATGAAGAATTGCTTGGATCTTAAACACGAATAACCTTCTTCTTCTTTTTAATTTTAATGAAGAATTACTTGGTTCTCAAACACAAATAACCTTACTTTTATTTTTTTATTTTCTTTTTTAATTTTAACGAAGAATTCTCCCGTCGGTTATTGCACATGAACACTAAGCCTCTCACCAACTAGATTTAATTAGGTATTTTGCATACAAATTTCTACTCATAATATATATATATATATATATATATATATATATATATATACACACACACTTACTCTTAAATTAAAAATGAGATAGTAAACTTAATGCCATCAAATCTAAAGTAATGTCAACATAAATTACATTCTCGATCCAAATTTGTGCAACAAGTTTTCAATTATGAATAAGTATTGTTAAAAATGATAAAGGCTAAAAGTTGATTTTTAAACTTTAAGGGCTAAAAAAGCCTTTCCTTAATCTTAATTATTCGTAGTCCTTGATTGAACTCACATGATAACAAATAAATTGCCTTAAAAATATTTTTTGATACCATTATAGAACCAATATTAACCAATTAACATTTATCAAACAAAATTATTAACCAATTAACAAGTAGTAACAATACAAGATCTTTGCTCGAAAAACATACTAGGAGCGTTGCAAAAATTAAACCAAACAACGAAAATATATTTGTTATGATGTAAGATATAACTATATAAAGATGATTGTTTTTTATTTTTCAATACTTAAGTCCGAGTAACAATAATTAGAATAAAGAACTTTTATTATAAAAATTAAATTGTAATAACATATATATCATAATAAAAAAAAAAAAAAAAGACTAATTTATTTGATACTATCTTGTACTATTGGTGAAACGAAGACTAATATCTGAATTATAATTTTTTTCAATTTGAATATCATACATTTTTACGATTTGTAATTGAATCGAGCGATTTCATTGACCAACATCCGAGCACATGTGACAAACACGCAATGGTTAAATAACCAAAAACTCCAAACTAACTTTTAAGCAATCAAATGAATATGGAATCATAGCAACCAAATTTACAATGAAGTCTCACTTGAAAATTTTATCAAACATTTTTTAAGCAAACTTCGTATCATAAATAAAACATAACAAACACTAAACTTCAAACTCTTTAAAAGATATTTTATTCAATTTTCATTGCTCCCAACTCAAAATTATGTTTACTTCTCTCAAAATTTGCTAGAAATGATGATGTTTTTCAAACCGACATTTTGCAACTTTAGCCATAGAATTGTTTGGAAAACCCGCCTCTTTCAACTCACAAAAAAAGGAAAAGAAAAAAAAACCCTCGTGCACTTGAAATAATAAAATTAAAACTTTTATCACTACCTCTCATATTTATGCTCCTCCTCTCTAATGGTTGTTGTCATGTCCTTCACCACGCCACCAACAACTATTGCTACCTCATTTGTTGATCAAATAGCACCCACTATTTTTTAAAAATCAATTGACTCTTTTAATCAAAAGCTCATAAATTTTGCTAATTCTACTCTAGATTTTGATTATATAGAAAAATGTTTCGACAAACTTAGATAATATTATTTGAGATTTTGACAACATAATAGAGGTGGAGGATAAAGAGTTTGTTATTAAAGACTTAGTTGTTAATAGATCTAATTCAGTTTTTGAAGTGAAGAATGAAATTGCTGATAAAGCCGATTTGGCAGTGTATAATGAAGAAGGAAGAAATAGTGGAGCTTGAAAGAGAAGGGCTTTTGGGGTGTTTGACTAAAGAGGAAAAGGTGAAAGTTAGAATGGAAGTAAACAAAAAATTAAATGGTTTGTGTGACATGGAAGAAGGTGAGATAAGGGATGTTGATGGAGAGAGAATGCTTGGTCAAAATGATAGCTATGTTGAAGTATCCGAGGATGAAGAGGGGGAGAAAGAAGAAGATGAGTACAAGATGGTTAAGTGATGTTCATAGAGATGAAGAGCATGCTAGTATGAGTTAATTTATAATTTCACATCTTTAAGTTACATAATAAGATAACATTTTTTTATTTATTTGGCTATGTCACTATTACGAATGAAAAACCATGCCGAATACAAATTGAAAAAACTAAAATTCGAATCCTAGTTTCTATTTGATTGATAGTACAAGATACTATCGAACCAATTAGTTTATAACAAAAAAAAAATCAGAATTTTTTTCTAAAAGATTTGAATGCAATATTTTCTTGATAAATTTAAGTTAAATACAACAATCCTTAAATTATTATATATTTCAACTTCATTTGTTCTCTTTTCCATTCCATGATCCAAATAGTTCACAAATCTCGCTTAAAGTAGCAACGATGATTAAGGGATTAAAAAAAAAAAAAACAAACATTACCATTAATTTTGCATGTTAATTTTGAGTGTTGATATTAAAATTCATTAAAACTTGAGGAATTGGCTTCTTTTTTTTTTTTTCCTCTTTCTCAACTCTTCTTCTTTCGTTAGTCTAATAATTCGTTTTTTTCATCATTTCTTGAATTGCATGTATTTGCTTTGAGAAATTTCATGAATATTCTATACATTTATTTCTTGTACCGGTGCTTGAAATTCTTCTTAAAACGAGCTGAAACTTGAAATTAGCAAGTCGGGTTATAAGGGTTTCCGGCCAAGTCAAAAAAACAAAAATTGGATTTTTCTTAATCTTTGGACTAAACCTCTTCCGGGTGTTTGTCTTACTTTTTTTCCTTATCAAATACCCTTCTTCTTCTTTTTTCTTTTTTCTTTTTTTTTCTCTATGACTTCAAAGGCACCATTTTGAATTTTTGAAGTCCGATGGCGTAAGCAACTTCACCAATTTTGCAAAATTCTAGAGAAGGCTCGTGATCTAATTGTCAAAACATTGCAAAATAGAGTGAAGATATGATCGATAAATTGCCTAATAACGTTCTTTGGAAAATCCTACTTGAGCTAACAAAAAGTGCAAATACCTTATCTAGAAAGGTCGACCTCAGCTCTAAGGGAGTTTTAGATCCTACGAAGTAAAATGTTCTAATCATTGTAACAAAGAAGAAAACCCGAAAGCATCATAATAGCTCCCTACAAATTAAGGATAAGTTCAAGTAATTAAAAAAGGACATACAAAATTCGATAAAAGAAAATGTTTTAGTTGACTTTTGAGTGCAATTCCTTAAGATGGAGACAGATATGGTCAAGAAAAAGGGAGGGAGGGAAGCTAACAACATGAATAAGAAAAATCAATTGAACATCGGATGCCAACATATGTCAACACCGCATAACTTTATTGACCCTATCTAGTTGGTAGGATTAAAAATATACTGAAACATCTAGAGTTTTTAGATGATGACATAGCCTCGGGATTTCAAACTGAAAATTTCAGGTAATAGATATTTCAGTCCGCTCTTATTGTTAATCACATCACATTATATTTTTCACCCTATGACTAGATATTTCACTCGATTCTGCAGACTAACAATTTATTCCATATCAATTTAAGGCATTTTAAGGAAACTTAATCGATTTAAAAGAGATCAGCAGATGTGTAACATTCCACAAAAAGAAGGCAAATTAACTGATCACAACTTTCAGAATTTCTCTAAAAATCCTAACTTTCAGCTCACCAAAAACTAAAATACCTTAAGTGGAAAGGTAAACTTCAGCCTTGAACGAGTTTTAGGTCTTATAATGTTCTATGTCGTTTATTCATTCACCACATTCTTATAGGTCCTTCACAAGCAAAAACCTCTTCTGAAAAGAGAGAAAGAAATGGATGAATTAAGAAGAAGAAATAAAGAAATCTTCCATGTTGTGAGCCGCTCTATAAGCTTTGCTCTCCACTCTTGCATCAGAAAAATGCCTTGTCAATGGATTTCACTTTTTTTCTTCACATGGGTTTTAATTCTCCAATCAATACCCTACTGACAATCAATTCCTCTATAGGTTCTTGGATTCAGAGTTTCCGAAGGTTTGCCAACGGTTCTGCATACAGATCAGCTAATTGACAACCTTAACTACCTTGCTTCCTACTGCAGCTCTAGAATCTATAATTTCCATCAGCTGCTTCATGAAATTTTTGGCATTCATTTCTCTCTTTCCTTTCCTTTTCTGGATGCTTAGATGACAACGTACAGTAGATCGACTTCTTTATGAAAGAGACAGATAGCAAAACTTTTGTCATCAACAAGCAGCAAAAACTAAAGGGGCTATGGCACCGGTAAAGTTGCGTTTAGAATCATGAGGATGTGGGCTTAAAAACTGCAAGCAGTCACTTCATTCACAAAAGCTTAAGGATAATATTGTTTCCAAACTCTCTTCCAGAACCCAATTTGGTGCTACCCTAATTGCTTTCTCCTGATATGATTGAAATGCTTGACCTTGGCATGTGTAAAAACTTAGAGATAAAAAAAGTGCACCATACTGTTAAATAATAAAATAACAATTGTAAAATTGAAGATGAAAACAAAAGATCGTATTGTTTAATTGCATTCAGAAATCTTCTCACACCGTCTTTAAGATGATTATTACCTTCAGTATAATACTGCAAGGATGCCCTTACTATAATACAACATGGATTTTGATAATTTAGTTATAAGATTTAATTTTCACACCCAAAAAATTGCATTCTAAATCATCCTAAATAAAGATAAATGATAGTAAAGATTCTGTCACTTTGGAAAACTACCAATACAGTTAAAGTTGAAGAAGGCACCACAAAGAATCTCCTTCCCCAAAGAAAAAGGTGAAAAAATATGTGAAGTTCATGAAAAACAAGGGAACAAATTGAAATAAGGTAAATGGTAGATTTACCTAAGCAATCTAATAATCTACATAATTTTACCAATCCAATGCTCAATTAGAGAGCTATATGTTAGGATCAAAGGTATTTAGTCAGAAAGTGCAGTGATCTTTAAGACCTGCCTAGCAAGATCAAATGCTCCACTGTTTTTGTATATTAAATGCAAATTATAGGCTGCTTCTCTGCACAGATCACAATAACCTGGTTTCATATTTTCCATTTCTATACTCATTCAGAAGTTTCGGAATGGGGTAATCCTTCTCGCAGGTTGCAAGCACCTTTTCATAATGTGATGATAGGCACGGGCAATATTATATAATGCCTCCTGCAAGGAGCAGAAATATTAATTTAGTATCATTTTACAAACAAAAATCCACAAAGAGGGAACAAGATTGACCATATATTGCTTTCAACATTTCAAGCATTTGTCATACAAGGAATTAGCAGCCACATAAGAAAATACAGAAACTTCAAAAAAATCATAGTCGCTGAGAAAAAGTGCTGAGTATGTGATAGCATACGAAAAGAACTTGACACATTTGCCCAAATAATCTCTCAGTAGGCTGATAGTTGAAAGATGATGTATGTTCTACTGAATGAATTGAGCAGTTAGGAGTCAACATGGAACTGCCTATGATCCAGAAGGTAGCTTTATTAGGGACAGAAAATAATAAAAGTTTTGGTAACTATTCAGTTCCATATAATCCCTAACCACCCAAAACACAAGGGCATTTGTCATATTCATGTACCAACAAACGTTATTGATTTTTTATACATAGTCAAAAGATCAAAAGATCACTGAAATGCATGCGACACAACAGAGCTCAACAAAATCTAGAACATAGCAGCAGATCATATATGTATAAAATAATGGAAGCTCTACAATAGCTCAGCTCTGGGCAGGTAGGAAGGGGCCTATGGCTAAAGTTAGGTCTTTGTGATGGAAAAACAGATATAACAAGCAACAGATACATAATTGAATCCAACCAATTAGAAATAGCATCAAGATTGAGTAAAGCTTTTGCATTTTGGTTGTCAATGATTTTAATTGGAAACTAACCCAATTAAAGCAACTTTGAAAAAATCAGCCATTATTTGATTGAACTGATTATGTTTAATTGCATGGACACACTAATAATCTCGCAAGATCATATTAAAGGAACTCCAATTTGTTGTGCTTACAAGAACATGTGGATGCATATGGACAGCTAAATGATGAGTTAGGTCCAGTTTTGTTTTCCTTCCCCAATATACAGCAATATAGATGCTTCGATAAAAATAATTGGTATAAAGTTGTGCCAGCAACCTCAACATTCTTTGACCTCGTTTTCTCCAATGGACTCTACAATACCAATTTTTTATTGACATGAGGAATTTTGATCAACCTCAATTAGTTATCAAAAGTGTCTGACCCACAGAAGCATGAATCACATAAACTAAAATCATGTACATATGACAATGGACCTAACCTGGCTATTCTCTGTCAGCTGTAAATTATTATAGAGGAAGGCTAAGCCTTGTGCAAGACACTGGTGCTTATTTTGAAATCTAAATCCAAGCGTCAAGTTGATCAAGGCAGTTCCTGGAGAAGAAAAACAAAATAGATAGAAAATAAACATATCATCTATCACTGTATAATTTAATAAGACTGCAAGTATAAATAAACTGTTGAAGAAAAGTCGAAGAAAACCTTACCCACACACAGATTAATTAGAGGACATTCTGGCATCAGTTTATAAGCGTCTAGGTATTCTCTTGCAGCATCTTGATGATGGCTGAGCATGGTAAACTGATGAGCAGAAATGACCAGAACACAGTTTTTGTGTTTGCTTCGCATATAACGTAGAAATTTGGCATGCTTTGCATAGCTCTTTCCCAATCTATGATATGATGAGAAATCCATGAATGAATAACACGATGAAAAGAAAAATGAAAGTGGTCATATAAATGAACATTCTCCTGCTCGGGGTTTCGTGTTTTCAGGCTGCATTAATACCATGTTTATGTTAATGTCATCAAGGTCCACACGCAAAGAGAAGGAAACAAAAAGGTATGAAACTCGAACAAACCTTTTTTTTTTCAGATGACAAGTAAACATCAGTCAGAATGCACAGAAACTATGCCAGAGAGACTATAGTAAACAAAAGCTTACAAAGATTCAAGATGTAAGTTTCAATCAATGCATATGACAATGGCATGTGCAATTTGATAAACTAAACTATATAGTCAATAACTTTAAAGGATTGTGAGAATTTGAGAACAATTTGAGAAAATAATCAAGAATAAGTGCATCTATCTGTACATCACCAATTTACTATACCAGTTTCCACAAATTTGGCAGCGTGCTGTTCATGTTGTGTATGAAATTAAGAAAATGGTAAACAGGATTGTTTGAATTTGGGAGCAATTTGAGAAAATCATCAAGAATGAGTACATCTATTTGCACGTCACCACTTCATTATACCAGATTCAACAAATTTGCCAGCATCCTGTTTCATGTTCCATATGAAACCAGAAAATGGTAAACAAAGTAGTGAAAATTAACATAAAGATATAAAATAACAGTCACCTTGAGGCTATTTTGTAATAACAGTTCCATCCAGCAATGCTGTGCGGCTGCTTTTGAATTGCAGATCATACATAGTCAAAACCATGTTTAGGATCTGTCGCGTTAAAAGATATTTCTGAGGAAACAAAAACAAAAAACTCAGCTTCAGTTAAACCCCAAAAGCTAGCAGAATTTTATTCTTTGATGGAAAAAGCAGACTTGAATAGTTTTCATGATGGCACCTAAGAAAATAAACAGCAGAAAAGGGGAAAAAAGAAATAGCAAACTAGCAAGAGAAGCATGGGGGTGTGGTTGCCGGAGGGTGTGGGGCCAAAGGGGGTGGGGTTGGTCTTCTAGGCCTAGAAATTACGAGCTAAAAGAGACAGAAGTTCCTCCTTATCACCATGCAGTTTATCAGAAACCAATCTCTGGGTGAGATTTATAATCTCCGGAGCTTCAGAATATCTTTGCAATGATTGCAATGCCTTGCACAACTATGAAACAAACCAAAATAGAGTTAACCATCAGAAGGTTAAAGAATGTACTGGTCAATTTATTCAACAAGAGTGGAATTCCTTAACAATGATTCTAAAACAAACTGTCAAGTGCAAATTAAATAAGTTTCGAGCAAATAAATTAAAATAAAGCATAGATGAATCAAAATAAATGACGGAAAAAGTACAAACATCTATAATAAGACTGTGATGCACTTCATCCTTTAAGAAATTATGCAGGGGAGAAACTCTGATTTCTTGCTGTAACCATCGACAGAAAAATATATATCAGATCATCAGGCCCAAGTGACAAGAACTTGCCAGTAACTTGAATAAGTCTTAGGTAACTCATACTAAAATCAGTTGCACTTTACCAGAGATTTATCAACTGAATAATCACTATGCAAATCAATACCAGCAGCTTTCTGTTCTTCCTTCTTTTGAAGCAGCTTTCTTGCTCTGCTAGCTCTCATTCTAGTTCCAGGTATCCATCAGTAAATGGTTACTTAGCTGCTCCCCTCAACACAATAAGAAGGAAAAAGCAAATACAAACACAACATTCCCTATTTATGGTCTAAGTATCTGACAAGCAGTGCTAAAATGCTGTGTAAAAATAAAAATAGAATCTGAAAGTAGACAATAAATTTCTGTACTTTTAACTTCTGATGGTCGGCCTCATTTGGCCTAAGCTCAAGCTAAGATAATCTAACCAATTGAACAGGTTTAATTCTCCACCAATTTATCCCACTGACCCCAAGCTTGACAAAAACAAAACGTTTACTAACACGGTAACACCCCCTATCTGCTGAAATTGAAAATATTCTGTTTCTACTCTTTCACAAAGATCCAAACCTTCGCTTTGATTTTCATGTCATTTGTGATTTTAGTAAAGCTGTTTCTGTCCACCTTCAACCTCACTGATGCCTTCAATAAACCTATCAAACATAGAGAAACCAGCTATGGAATCTATTGCATGCGTTTGAGTTAGGATTGTTGCCATCTAGACTTCAACAAGAATTCAGAATCACCACCCACCTCTGAGAACCGCAAGTTAAAAATGACACATGACAAAAAGATTATAATTCCAAGGATGATGTAATTGCAGTCCAAACAGACCCAAAATTAAATAAAATCCAAAGACAAAGCAATGTTTTACAACAAACGAACAATCCCGGCATTCTAAAATGATCTGAATGCCATGGAACCATCACTGACTACTGTTTACAATTTACTGAACTTCAATCACAGTTACAGACACCAAAAAAAAACAAAAAGGTGCTTCCACCATCCTAGCAACTTGAAAGCATAAAAAAGAGCATCAATTCAGAGCAAAACGTCACTTCTATGTATAATAGAATCTATCCAACCTATTCGATCCACTAAACAATCTCTTTATTTTTTATTTTTTATTTTTTTGGAACTTATCCACTAAACAGTGTTCGAGCAAGTGCTTTCTGGCTTCAGAATCATTCGGATATACTGTGAAAACACCGTTATCATCACAGGTCACCTTACCTGTAGGACATGAATTACTGTATTCTTGCTGCCACCAAATGAGACTTCTGACGAAAAAATTTTAATCACAAGTCGAGGCAGCTCATTCCAAATAAAAAAAAAAAAAAAAAAAGGTACAGACTTCTAAACATGGATGCCAAGAAAATGAATTTATATAAAGATCACCAATTACAGCCACCCAACCTACGTTCTCAAGTTGGCCTTTATAGACAGAAAAGGAAGAAATGAATTTAAGAAATCAAAATTACAACTGAAAAGCATTAGCAGAGTCAAAACTCACAGATCTGATTTAGAAGCCAGTGGTCTCACTTCTCCAAAAACATCATTTTCCTAAACATTCAGGATACTGATTCTTTCATGCAGAACACTTATTGTCAGCCTTTTCTTTACCTAATGTTAATTGAGAATCAATCAATCCACACTCGCAAGGAGAATAATGGTGTTGGTAACTAGAAAAAGAATATCAAATAAAGACATATACGACGACTAAGGCTAAATGTGTGCTCAGTGACTTTAGCCTGGTTCAGACCATAGAATGAACCCAGAAATGCAGATAAATGATTCTAACTTCCAATGCTAAAATCAATGCATTGCAGGTTGTAACTAAATTTGATGAGTTATGAAGTCAGATTCTGTAGAAGTGCTTATGTAGCATAAAACAATGATAAAACAACTTACGATAAGAAAATTATCAATTAAAAAATTTTTTAAACATCTGAGTGCAGATGGTGAATAAGGACCAAGATAAGATAAAATGGACCTTCTGTGAAGATTTATATTATCCTCTCAGGATCACATTTTACTTAGACATTTGGAAGAAAGGAGTCAGAGGAACAAAGAGTTAACATTACAAGTTTTGTTATATTTTAGGGCATTACAATTACCTTTGGACGAAGGGTTTTTACATAAAGTGACTCATGAACCAGGGGTAAGATTTTATTAACAAACTCTTGAAGCATCCCCTTTGCTTTATATATGTGGCAAAGCTTTAATTTTATTTTTCCATCAAGCCACCATGGTTTTTGCACATTGGAATTTGAATTAATAAAATCTGCATATACAAGCCATGAGATAAAGAAAGATCATGAGTGCTTTCCCAAAAGTAAACTATTTTGAAATAAAGTGAGAAAAAAAAATTTATCAGAACAATGTTACCCAAATCTTTCGGAGGCGAAAGCAAAGAAATAGCCTCATCTTCTTTAGCGTCTTCAAGGATGAGCGACGCCAAAGCCAATCGGGCATTAATGCTATCTTCTAGCATGGACAAAGCTGAAGAGAGGCATTGATCAGCCAAAAAACATGCTTAACTACCAAGAGTGCAACTTAAAAGAGATACTATGAAAGGCCAAATATCTGAATATAAATTATATACATTGAACAGTGCCATCATTAAAGGTATGGAGACAATTACCATAACTCTTCATTCTCAAATCATATAGCCTTCATTTCCTTAATGATACATTTAGCTTATTTCCTATTTACTTAATTCTTTATTGATTGTACTTATTATTATAATTTTGACAGAAAATTTTATTCACCAAGGTACAAATGAAAAGAAATTGTAGGAAGCAGAACGAGACATCCTTCGAATAAGAAACCAAAAAAAATACAAAACCATTGCTGACAGCTATCCAAATTTTTGGTGGACTCTGATTGCTTTAAATTTTGGATAAAGAAATAAAAGCCTCTGACAAGGAGCGCCATGAAAGCCAAGACAATGACTCTATTCCACAACAAATGTTTCAAAGGAGTTGTTTGTAGAAATTTCAGGAATTTTGATTGTTTCTAGAAATTAACACTGACGTCCCATTGACAAGTTGATGCATGCATGCAGACCACTAAAACTGCCCCCTATTCCATGTATCTAGCTGTAACTGAAGCCTGAAGCACACACACAACGGAGTCACAATCTTAAAAATCAAAACTACTGCCATCAAAATCGGTTTCTTGCAGCAAGCATGATGATGCAGCACCATCATCACCTAAGAAACCAGAAAGAATAGAATGATTAATATGGAAAATATGTCTAAAACAAGCTCCAATTACATTGCAAATTAATTAACCATAATGCTAATTAAACTTCTAAATTCATAAGCATTGAATGCACGAATAGATATTTACCCAACTTACAGAATCTCTTCAGTTTCAGTGTTTGGATGAGTAATTCCTTCATTGCTTACTAGGATTCAATTCCAATGTTTTTCATGTTTCACCTGACTTATACAATCTGTAAGTACATCAGAGGCCCTAAGGTTTGAATCATGAGTAAAGCAAACAATATAAAGGTATTGTAGGGAAAAGAGAGACTGATAGTACAAGTTGGCAAGTGTGCTTCAAAAGCTGATGCCTCGTTATGATGCTTAGGTAACATTGATGCCCGAGCTTTTCCAGCACAACTAGAATCCTTCATCCTACAATAAAATGGAAAAAGAAAGAAAGGAGCAGAGAAACACAAAAAGAGACAGCAAAACGAAAAAAGAAAGAAGGCAAATAAGTCATATCAGTATTTGAAGCTTTAATAACTAGCTTTAATGTTATATTGTAAGTTATGAATCTTCTTATCAATGATTAATATGTTCTATAATAATGTCATGAACATTTTTCATCAAATGTATTCCCAGCAAACCAGCAATGGGGTCATGGACACAATGTCCTGCCCAAGTTAGGGGTCAAAGTTTACAGAGACCTAACAAGTGAAAACGGGGGTAAGGTTTATGGCAGAAGATAGTGTGACCAGAAAGTTACGTGAACAAGTATGAAATCATTTATAACGCTACAGACTAATCATATATTCTCATTGTGTACGTTCCGTTACATGAACCTTGCAAACATGTCTAAATTTAAAACAGTCAGGATAGAAATCCAAGCTTCCCACGCTACTCTCCAAAATTATCAGAGTTTTATGATTCCCAAATCATACAAAGTGAATCTCATTACAAACTGAAGTATAATCAGCTACATGCATAGCAAAAAGTTAAAAGAGCATCCAAGGGAAAAATGCATGAAGATTAGTTGGTAACTAAACACTACAAAATTATGTCCTGTTTCTAAAATCAGCAGCCATCTACATTGACACAATTAACACTGACGTCCCATTGAGAAGTTGATGCATGGATGCAGACCACTAAACAGCTGCCTATCCCACGAGTCTAGCTGTACCTGAAGCCTGAAGCATAGACACAAAGGAGTCGCAATCTTCAAAATCAAAACTATCGCCATCAAAATCAGTTTCTTGCAGCAAGCATGATGATGCAGCAACATCATCACCTAAGAAACCAGAACGAATAGAATGCATAATATGGAAAATATGAATCAAGGAATTCAGTCACCAATTAAAAACCATTAACTTAAACAAGTCAATTATCTTTGCAATAGGTTAAATTCTTTCCGGACATATATGCCTCAACAGACAGCCTAAGGTGAATATGAAAAACTTGAGTTCCTCTAGTATTCTTTAAGGCTGTAACATATCATTAACACTCCCGAGCGTAACCATTTCAGCAAAAAAGCGAATATTTCAACCATGTGTGCCCAAGTATTGGCGCTGTGTGATACTTGCAAGCAAGAAATTGCAAAATCTAGAGCTGAAACGAATTAATAGAACATATAGAGAATGCTAACATTCAGTATAGCTGCAAACACTCCAAGAGATATTTCCACTTTTGGACATTATGGGGCTGGCAGAATAGTCAATCCCATAAATTCAATTATTTAAATTTGCTGGCGAGTGAGTTTGGTGAAAAAATTTTAGTAAGATTAGCATTACTCAAGAAAAAATTGTTAGAGAAGAAAAAAGATAAACAATGAATCATCTTCGATAGCCAATTCTCTGTATCCCTCCAGTTGAACTCAGATAGTTATTGGATTTAAAATAATTATGCAGCAATAGACAACTGATAGGGCATAGAATATAACATCTAGGCTGCTGGGACAACCAACAGAAAGATAACTACCTTAGCAAATATATATTCCTCAAAGCCCATAATAGTATCTCTAACAGCTTAGAATCAGAATGAGTCCTTTTAGCTTTTTTATCCTATGATGCCTCTGCATCAAATTTTAAAAATAAGATCAATCAAGAAACCAACATTTCAAAGATGCTTTAGCCCATGGTTTTTCCCTTGCAATCCTTTTAAACAGTCAGTTTCTTAGGAGTGGACCCAGAATAAAGGATTTATAACAAAGACTAAGAACCAAAGATGTATATATCTCAGATGTCCCATCCACCCCAGAAAAGAGAGAAGCTCTTCCTTGGTTATAGGAGTAGAAAACCCTAATGCATCTCTATTCGATATTTATATGCATGTTAACGTACTGATAAAAAAAAGTATAGATACTAAGTTGAAGAAAGGCATCCCTTATGGGACATCTGACGAAGTGGGAATCTGATAGAGTCAAATCAATCATCATCATATAGATATCATATCAGTGACCACAATAAAGAAAACAATGAAAAAATTATTGATGGGAAGAAAGGGAACAGTGTGAGGGATAATACCGAGCTGGGCACAGTTGATAACGATAAGATCGTAAAGGATATGAAGAACAATACCTCAGTTTCTGAAAGAAGTCAGATCAGGTTGGTGGCCCCATGGGATTGGCAGTATAGTAGTAGAAAACCCTAATGCATCTCTATTCGATATTTATATGCACGTTAACGTACTGATAAAATAAAATATAGATACTAGGTCAAAGAAAGGCATCCCTTATGGGACATCCGACGAAGTGGGGATCTGATAGAGGCAAATGTATCATCATCATATAGCCATTATATCAGTTACCACAATAAAGAAAAAATTATGGATGGGAAGAAAGGGAATAGTGTAAGTGATAATACCGAGCTGGGCACAGTTGATAACGATAAGCATCCCTTCAACGATAGATAGGATCATAAAGGATATGAAGAAAAATACCTCAGTTTCTGCAAGAAGTCAGATCATATTGGTGGCCCCATGGGATTGGCAAAGCTGACACATTTGAGTGCTCTCGTGCTACATGAAATTTTAATATTAAATTCTGAACTCACATTGTGCTTTGATTGAAGGCCAGATTAGGCACCCAGAGCATACAATAGAAGAAGAGTTCCTCAGCATGATAAAAGCAAAGAAAAGGAAAGGAAAAAAATGATGCAATGTTAGAAAGTTTTGACAATTGGCAGGTTGTAAGTGATTTGCCTTAGAAAGAGCTTTTGACAAATAATACTTGGCTATACATCCATTAACATGTGCGTGTGCGCGTGCCCCAATTGAATAAACCAAAAGAAAAGTAAAATATGGTAGATATTCATGGTCTCCTCAAAAGAATGTTCTGATACAGCTTAGGAATTGCATGTTATATATATGTATAATTCTGCAATTGTTTTCGAAAAGCTAAACTCTAAAGGGAAAAAAAAACAATGTAATTGTGCAGATATGTCAACGGTGCAAACCTGACCAAAAACAGTTCCAACCTTTCCATCTTATTCCACTAAATTATCATATTATCCATTTGCATCAACATACAGACACAAACATAATATAGGTCTAAAACAAAATCCAATTACATTGGAACTTAATTAACCATAATGCTAATTAAACTTCTAAATTCTTAAGCATTGAATGCACGAATAGATATTCACCCAATTTACACAATCTCTTCAGTTTCAGCGTTTGGATGAGTAATTCCTTCATTGCTTATTTGGATTCAATTCCAATGTTTTTCATGTTTCACCTGACTTATACGGTCTGTAAGTACATCAGAGGCTCTAAAGTTCGAATCATGAGTAAAGGAAACAATATAGAGGTATTGAAGGGAAAAGAAAGACTGATGGTACAAGTTGGCGAGTTTGCTCCACAAGTTGATGCCTCGTTATGATGCTTAGGTAACATTGATGCCTGAGCTTTTCCAGCACAAGTAGAATCCTTCACCCTACAATAAAATGGAAAAAGAAAGAAAGGAGCAAGAAACAAAACAAGAAAGACAGCAAAATGAGAAAAGAAAGAAGGCAAATAAGTATGCAATCAACTATAAACCATGCAAAGGACATATGTATGACATACGTACATGAAAACTATTATAAAGGAAGAAAGATACCTCAGCATCAATCCAATAGATTGTCACATGATAAACATCAGATAGAGACTTGCCATCGACTGAATGAGTGATGTTCCTAACCTCATTACACACCATTCTGCATTTGGTGAGGAATGCAAATGTTAGGATTGAAAATTCACAATTATTAGTAAATTATATGAATTCTTGTAATGTATAAATAAGTTTTAGCTTATCTGTAGCCTGTAAATCCATCATCCTTTTTGACAATATGCGACCAAAAGATAGAAGGTGAAATTAGTAATAATAAAATCATTCTTGTAGCCTTCTAAATCATCCTAAATAAAGATAAATGATAGTAAAGATTCTGTCACTTTGGAAAACTCCCAATACAGTTAAAATTGAAGAAGGCACTACAAAGAATCTCCTTCCCCAAAGAAAGAGGTTCAAAAATATGTGAAGTTCATGAAAAACAAGGGAACAAATTGAAATAAGATAAATGATAAATTTATCTAAGCAATCTAATAATCTACATAATTTTACCAATCCAATGCTTGATTAGAGAGCTATATGTTAGGATCAAAGATATTTAGTCAGAAAGTGCAGTGATCTTTCAAGACCTGCCTAGCACGATCAAATGCTCCACTGTTTTTGTATATTAAATGCAAATTATAGGCTGCTTCCCTGCACAGATCACAATAACCTGGTTTCATATTTTCCATTTCTGAATTCTCATTCAGAAGTTTCGGAAAGGGGTAATCCTTCTCGCAGGTTGCAGGCACCTTTTCATAATGTGAAGCTGCTATAGACACTAGTCCAACATGATGATAGGCACGAGCAATATTATATGATGCCTCCTGCAAGGAGCAGAAATATTAATTTGGTATCATTTTACAAACAACAATCCACAAAGAGGGAACAAGATTGACCATATGTTGCTTTCAACAATTCAAGCATTTGTCATACAAGGAATTAGCAGCCACATAAGAAAATACAGAAACTTCAAAAAAATCAGTCACTGAGAAAAAAGTGCTAAGTATATGATAGCAGAGGAAAAGAACAACTGACAAATTTGCCCAAATAATCTCTCAGTAGGCTGATAGTTGAAAGACGATGTATGTTTTACTGAATGAATTGAGCAGTTAGGGGTCAACATGGAACTGCCTACGATCCAGAAGGTAGCGTTAATTGGGACATAAAATAATAAAATTTTTGTTAACTATTCAGTTCCATTAAATCCCTAACCACCCAAAACAGAAGGGCATGTGTCATATTCATGTACCAACAAACGTTACTGATTTTTTTTATAGAGTCAAAAGATCACTGAAATGCATGCACGGTAATAGAGCTCAACAAAATCTAGAACATAGTAGCAGATCATATATGTATAAAATAAATGGAAGCTCTACAATAGCTCAGCTCTGGGCAGGTAGAAATTGATGGAGTTAGGGGCCTATGGCTAAAGTTAGGTTGTTGTGATGGAAAAGCAGATATAACAAGCAACAGATACATAATTGAATCAATGGCCAACAAACATCAATGAAACTGATGCCAGGAATCCAACAGCTGCATTAGCTTGTAGTTGGCCAATTAGAACTAGCATCAAGATTGACTAAAGCTTTTGCATTTTGGTTGTCAATGATTTTAATTGGAAACTAACACTATTAAAGCAACATTGAAAAAATCAACCATTATTTGATTGAACCGATTATGTTTAATTGCATGGACACATAATAATCGCTCAAGATCATATTAAAGAAACTCCTTACAATAACATGTAGATGCATATGGAAAGCTAAATATTGAGTTAGGTCCAGTTTTGTTTTCCTTCCCCAATATACAGCAATATAGATGCTTCAATAAAAATAATTGGTATAAAGTTGTGCCAGCAACCTCAACATTCTTTGACCTCGTTTTCACCAATGGACCCTACAATACCAATTTTTTATTGACATGGAGAAATTTTGATCAACCTCAATTAGTTATCAAAAGTGTTTGACCCACAGAAGCATGAATCACATAAACTAGAACCATGTACATATGACAATGGACCCAACCTGGCTATTCTTTGTCAGCTGTAAATTATTATAGAGAAGGCTAAGCCTTGTGCAAGACACTGGTGCTTATTTTGAAGTCTAAATCCAAGGGTCAAGTTGATCAAGGCAGTTCCTGGAGAAGAAAACAAAATAGATAGAAAATAAACGTAATATATCATCTCTCACTGTATAATTTAATAAGACTGCAAGTATAAATAAATTGTTGAAGAAAAGTGAAGAAAACCTTACCCACACACAGATTAATTAGAGGACATTCTGGCATCAGTTATAAGCATCTAGGTATTCTCTTGCAGCATCTTGATGATGGCTGAGCATGGTAAACTGATGAGCAGAAATGACCGGAACACAGTTTTTGTGTTTGCTTCGCATATAATATAGAAATTTCGCAAGCTTTGAATAGCTCTTTCCCAATCTATGATATCATGAGAAATCCATGAATGAACAACAAGATGAAAACAAAGTGAAAGTGGTCATATAAATGAAAATTCTCCTGCTTCGGGTTTCGTGTTTTCAGGCTGCATGAATACCATGTTTATGCTAAGGTCACCAAGGTCCACAAGCAAAGAGAAGGAAACAAAAAGGAATGAAACTCGAACAAACCTTTTTTTTTTTAGATGACAAGTAAACAACAGCCAGAATGCACAGATACTATGCCAGAGAGACTATAGTAAACAAAAGCTTAGGAAGATTCAAGATGTAAGTTTCAATCAATGCATATGACAATGGCATGTGCAATTTGATAAACTAAACTATATAGTCAATAACTTTAAAGGATTGTGAGAATTTGCGAACAATTTGAGAAAATAGTCAAGAATAAGTGCATCTATTTGTACATTATCAATTTACTATACCAGTTTCCACAAATTTGGCAGTGTGCTGTTCATGTTGTTAATGAAATTAAGAAAATGGTAAATAGGATTGTTTGAATATTGGAGCAATTTGAGAAAATTATCAAGAATGAGTACGTCTATTTGCACGTCACCACTTCATTATACCAGATTTCACAAATTTGCCACCATCCTGTTCCATGTTCCATATGAAACCAGAAAATGGTAAACAAAGTAGTGAAAATTAACATAAAGATATAAACTAACAATCACCTTGAGGCTATTTTGTAATAACCATTCTAGCCAGCAATGCTGTGCGGCTGCTTTTGAATTGCAGATCTTACAGAGTCAAAACCATGTTTAGGATCTGTGGCGTTAAAAGATGTTTCTGAAGAAACAAAAACAAAAAACTCAGCTTCAGTTAAATCCCAAAAGCCAGCCGAATTTTATTCTTTGATGGAAAAAGGCAGACTTGAATAGTTTTCATGATGGCACCTAAGAAAATAAACAGCGGAAGAGGGGAAAAAACAAATAGAAAACTAGCAAGAGAAGTATAGGGGTGTGGGGCCAAAGGGGGTGGGGTGGTCTTCTAGGCCTAGAAATTACGAGCTAAAAGAGACAGAAGTTCCTCCTTATCACCAGGCAGTTTATCAGAAACCAATCTCTGGGTGAGATTTATTATCTCCAGAGCTTCAGAATACCTTTGCAATCATTGCAATGCCTTGCATAACTATGAAACAAACCAAAATAGAGCTAACCATCAGAAGGTTAAAGAATGTACGGGTCAATTTATTCAACAAGAGTGGAATTCCTTAACAATGATTCTAAAACAAACTGTCAAGTGCAAATTAAATAAGTTTCGAGCAAATAAATTAAAATAAAGCATAGATGAATCAAATTAAATGAAGGGAAAAAATACAAACCTCTATAATAAGACGCTGTTTCTGTCATTTGTGATTGTTGCCATCTAGACTTCAACATGAATTCAGAATCATTATCCACCTCTGAGAACCGCAAGTTAAAAAAGGCACATGACAAAAAGATTATAATTCCAAGGATGATGTATCCAAACAGACCCAAAAATAAATAAAATCCAAAGACAAAGCAATGGTTTACAACAAACGAACAATCTCACCATTCTAAAATGATTTGAATGCCATGGAACCATCACAAACTACTGTTTACAATTTACCGAACTTCAATCATGGTTACAGACACCAACAAAAACAAAAAGGTGCTTCCACCATCCTAGCAACTTGAAAGCATAAAAAAGAGCATCAATTCAGACCAAAACGTCACTTCTATGTATAGCAGAATCTCTCCAACCTATTTGATCCACTAAACAACCTTTTTTTTTTTCTTTTTTTTTTTCTTTTTTTTTTTTTTTTTTTTGCAACTTATCCACCAAACAGTGTTTGAGCAAATGCTTTCTGGCTTCAGAATCATTTGGATATACTGTGAAAACACCCTTATCATCACGGGTCACCTTACCTGTAGGAGATGAATTACTGTATTCTTGCTGGCTCCAAACAAGACTTCTGATGAGAAAATTTTACTCACAATTCAAGACAGCTCATTCCAAAAAAAAAAAAAAGGTACAGACTTCTAAATATGGATGCCAAGAAAATGAATTTATATAAAGATTACCAATTACAGTCACCCAACCTACGTTCTGAAGTTAGCCTTTATAGACAGAAAAGGAAGAAATAAATTTAAGAAATCAAAATTACAACTGAAAAGCATTAGCAGAGTCAAAACTCACAGATCTGATTTAGAAGCCAGTGGTCTCACTTCTCCAAAAACATCATCATTCTCCTGAACATTCAGAATACTGATTCTTTCAGCAGAACACTTATTGTCAGCCTTTTCTTTACCTAATGTTAAATGAGAATCAATCAATCCACATTCGCAAGGAGAATAATGGTGTTGGTAACTAAAAAAGAATATCAAACAAAGACATATACGATGACTAAGGCTAAATGTGTGCTCAGTGACTTTAGCCTGGTGCAGACCATGGAATGAACCCAGAAATGCATATAAATGATTCTAACTTCCAATGCTAAAATCATTGCATTGCCGGCTGTAACTAAATTTGAGGAGTTATGAAGTCAAATTCTGTAGAAGTGCTTATGTAGCATAAAACAATGATAAAACAACTTACGCAGCCCTGTGACTGATAAGAAAATTAACATTTAAAAATAGGTTCAAACATCTGTGTGCAGATGGTGAATAAAGACCAAGATAGGATAAAATGGACCTTCTGTGAAGATTTATATTATCCTCTCAGGATCACATTTTACTCAGACATTTGGAAGAAAGGAGTCAGAGGAACAAAGAGTTAACATTAAAAGTTTTTCTATATTGTAGGGCATTACAATTACCTTTGGACGAACAGTTTTTACATAAAGTGACTCACGAACCAAGGGTATGATTGTATTAACAAAGTCTTGAAGCACCCCTTTTGCTTTATATATGTGGCAAAGCTTTAATTTTATTTTTCCATCAAGCCACCATGGATTTTGCATATAGGAATTTCAATTAATAAAATCTGTATACACAAACCATGAGATAAAGAAAGATCATGAATGCTTTCCCAAAAGTAAACTATTTTGAAATAAAGAAAGAAAAAAAAATTATCAGAACAATGTTACCCAAATCTTTGGGAGGAGAAAGCAAAGAACATCTTCTTTAGCGTCTTCAAGGATGAGCGACGCCAAAGCCAATCGGGCATCAATGCTATCTTCTAGCATGGACAAAGCTGAAGAGAGGCATCGATCAGCCAAAAAACTTGCTTAACTGCCAAGAGTGCAACTTAAAAGAGATATCATGAAAGGCCAAATATCTGAATATAAATTATATACATTGAACAGTGCCATCATTAAAGGGATGGAGACAATTACCATAACTCTTCATTCTCAAATCATATAGCCTTCATCTCCTTAATGATACATTTAGCTTATTTCCTATTTACTTAATTCTTTATTGATTGGACTTATTATTATAATTTTGACAGAAAATTTTATTCACCAAGGTACAAATGAAAAGAAATTGTAGGAAGCAGAACGAGACATCCTTCGAATAAGAAACCAAAAAAAATACAAAACCATTTCTGACAGCATCCAAATTTTTGGTGGACTCTGATTGCTTTAAATTTTGGATAAAGAAATAAAAGCCTCTGACAAGGAGCGCCATGAAAGCCAAGACAATGACTCTATTCCACAACAAATGTTTCAAAGGAGTTGTTTGTAGAAATTTCAGGAATTTTGATTGTTTCTAGAAATTAACACTGACGTCCCATTGACAAGTTGATGCATGCATGCAGACCACTAAAACTGCCCCCTATTACATGTATCTGGCTGTAACTGAAGCCTGAAGCGCACACACAAAGGAGTCGCAATCTTAAAAATCAAAACTACTGCCATCAAAATCGGTTTCTTGCACCAAGCATGATGATGTAGCACCATCATCACCTAAGAAACCAGAAAGAATAGAATGATTAATATGGAAAATATGAATCATGGAATTCAGTCACCAATTAACAACCATTAACTTAAACAAGTCAATTATCTTTGCCATAGGTTAAATTTTTTTTGCACATATATGCCTCAACAGACAGCCTAAGGTGAATATGACAAACTTGAGTTCCTCTAGTATTCTTTAAGGCTGTAACATATCATTAACAGTCCCAAGCATAACCATTGCTGCAAAAAATCGAATATTTCAACAAAGTAAGCCCAAGAATTAGCTCTATGTGATACTTTCAAGCAAGAAATTGCAAAATCTAGAGCTGAAAGGAATTAATAGAACACATAGAGAATGCTAACATTCAGTATAGCTGCAAACACCCCAAGAGATATTTCCACTTTTGGACATTATGGGGCTGGCAGAATAGTCAATCCCATAAATTCAATTATTGAAATTTGCGGGGAAGTGAGTGAGTTCAGCCAGAAGTTTTTAGTAAGATTAGCATTACTCAAGAAAAAATTGTTAGAGAAGAAAGAAGATAAACAATGAATCATGTTCGATAACCAATAACAAATAATCTTCTTGACAAAAGACCCCACCACTTCTCTCTATCCCTCCAGTTGAACTAAGAAAGTCATTGGATTTAAAATAATTATGCAGCGATAGACAACTGATAGGGTATAGAATATAACATCTAGGTTGCTGGGACAACCAACAGAAAGATAACTACCTTAGCAAAGATATATTCCTCAAAGTCCATAATAGTATCTCTAACAGCTTAGAATCAGAATGAGTTCTTTTAGCTTTTTTATCCTATGATGCCTCTACATCAAATTTTAAAAAGAAGATCAATCAAGAAACCAACATTTCAAAGATTCTTTAGCCCATGGTTTTTCCCTTGCAATCCTTTTGAACAGTCAGTTTCTTAGGAGTGGACCCAGAATAAAGGATATATAACAAAGACTAAGAACCAAAGATGTATATGTCTCACATGTCCCATCCACCCCAAAAAAGAGAGAAGCTCTTCCTTGGTGATAGTAGTGGAAAACCCTAATGCGTCTCTATTCGATATTTATATGCATGTTAACGTGCTGATAAAATAAAGTATAGATACTAGGTAGAACAAAGGCATCCCTTGTGGGACATCTGACGAACTGGGAATCTGATAGAGGCAAATCTATCATCATCATCATATAGCCATCATATCAGTGACCACAATAAAGGAAGCAATGAAAAATTATTGATGAGAAGGAAGGGAAGAGTGTGAGTGATAATACCGAGCTGGGCACAGTTGATAACGATAAGCATCCCTTCAACGATAAGATCGTAAAGGATATGAAGAACAATACCTCAGTTTCTGCAAGAAGTCAGATCAGGTTGGTAGCCCCATGGGATTGGCAAAGCTGACACATTTGAGTGCTCCCGTGCTACAGGAAATTTTAATATTAAATTCTGAACTCACACTGTGCTTAGATTGAAGGCCAGATTAGGCACCCAGAGCATACCATAGAAACAGAGTTCCTCAACACAATAAAAAGAAAGAAAAGGAAAGGAAAAAAATGATGCAATGTTAGAAAGTTTTGAAAATGGGCAGGCTGTAAGTGATTTGTCTTATAAAAAGCTTTTGACAAATGATACTTGGCGATACATGCATTAACACGTGCGCGTGCGCATTCCCCATTTAAATAAACCAAAAGAAATGTAAAACGTAGTAGATATTCATGGTCACCTCAAAAGAATGTTCTGATACAGCATAGGAATTGCAAGTTATGCATGTGAATAATTCTGCAATTGTGTTAGAAATGGTAAACTCTAAAGGGGAAAAAAAAAAAAACAAAGTAACTGTGCAGACAAGTCAACATTGCAAACCTGACCAAAAACATTTCAAACCTTTCCATCTTATTCCACTAAATTATCATATTATCCATTTATGTCAGCATAAAGAAAGAAAGATACATAATATATGTCTAAAACAAAATACAATTACATTGCAAATTAATTAACCATAACGGTAATTAAACTTCTAAATTCATAGGCATTGAATGCACGAATAGATTTTACCCAATTTACACAATCTCTTCAGTTTCAGTGTTTGGATGAGTAATTCCTTCATTACTTATTTGGATTCAATTCCAATGTTTTTCATGTTTCACCTGACTTATACAATCTGTAAGTACATCAGAGGCCCTAAAGTTCAAATCATGAGTAAAGGAAATGATATAAAGGTATTGAAGGGAAAAGAGTGACTGATAGTACAAGTTGGCGAGTATGCTTCAAAAGACGATGCCTCATTAGGATGCTTAGGCAACATTGATCCCCGAGCTTTTGATGCACAAGTAGAATCCTTCATCCTACAGTAAAATGGAAAAAGAAAGAAAGGAGCAGAAAAACACAAAAAGAAAGACAGCAAAACGAGAAAAGAAAGAAGGCAAATAAGTCGTATCAGTATTTAAAGCTTTAATAACTAGCTTTCATGTTATATTATAAGTTATTAATCTTCTTATCGATGACCAATATGTTCTATAATAATGTCATGAACATTTTTCATCAAATGTATTCCCAGCAAACCACCACTGGGTTCAAAGACACAATGTCCTGCCCAAGTCAGGGGTCAAACTTTAAAGAGACCTAAAAAATGAAAACAGGGATAAGGTTTATGGCAGAAAATAGAGTGGCCAGAAAGTTACGTGAGCAAGTATGAAATCATTTATAATGTTACAGACTAATCATATATTCTCATTGTGTACGTTCCGTTACATGAACCTTGCAAACATGTCTAAATTTAAAACAGTCAAGATAGAAATCCAAACCTCCCATGCTACTCTCCAAAATTATCAGAGTTTGATGATTCCCAAATCATACAAAGTGAATCTCAGTACAAACTAAAGTATAATCAGCAACATGAATAACAAAAAGTTAAAAGTGCATCCAAGGGAAAAATGCATGAAGATTAGTTGCTAACTAAACACTACAAAATTATGTCCAGTTTCTAAAAACAGAACCCATCTTTATCAACGCAATTAAAACTCACATCCCATTGAGAAGTTGATGCATTTATGCAGACCGCTAAAACTGCTGCCTATTCCATGAACCTAGCTGTACCTGAAGCCTGAAGCATAGAGACAAAGGAATCGCAATCTCCAAAACCAAAACTACCGCTATCAAAATCAGTTTCTTGCAGCAAGCATGATGATGCAGCACCATCATCACCTAAGAAACATGAAAGAATAGAATGCATAATATGGAAAATATGAATCAAGGATTTCAGTCACCAATTAAAACCATTAACTTAAATAAGTCAATTATCTTTGCAATAGGTTAAATTCTTTTAGGATATATATGCCTCAACATACAGCCTAAGGTGAATATGACAAACTTGAGTTCCTCTAGTATTCTTTAAGGCTGTAACACATCATTAACACTCCCGAGCATAACCATTCCTGTAAAAATTCGAATATTTCAACCAAGTGTGCCCAAGTATTAGCTCTATGTGATACTTTCAAGCAAGAAATTGCAAAATCTAGAGCTAAAAGAAATTAAAAGAACACAAATAGAAGCTCACATTCAGTATAGCTGCAAACACTCCAAGAGATATTTCCACTTTTGGACACTATGGGGCTGGCAGAGAAATCAATCCCATAAAGTCAATTATGTAAATTTGGAGGGAAGTGAGTGAGTTCGGTGAGAAGTTTTTAGTAAGATTAGCACTACTCAAGAAAAAATTGCTAGAGAAGAAAGAAGATAAACAACGAATCATCTTCGATAGCCAATAGAAAATAATCTTCTTGACGAAAGACCCCACCACTTCCCTGTATCCTTCCAGTTGAATTAAGAAAGCCATTGGATTTAAAATAATTATGCAGCGATAGACAACTGAAAGGGTATATTAATATAACATCTAGGCTGCTGGGACAACCAACAGAAAGATAACTACCTTAGCAAAGATATATTCCTCAAAGCCCATAATAGTATCTCTAACAGCTTAGAATCTCAATGAGTCCTTCTAGCTTTTTCATCCTATGATGCCTCTACATCAAATTTTAAAAAGAAGATAAACAATAAATCATCTTCGATAGCCAATAGCAAATAATCTTCGTGACGAAAGACCCCACCACTTCCCTGTATCCCTCCAGTTGAACTAAGGAAGTCATTGGATTTAAAATAATTATCAAGCGATAGACAACTGATAGGGTATAAAATATAACATGTAGGTTGCTGGGACAACCAACAGAAAGATAACTACCTTAGCAAAGATATATTCCTCAAAGCCCATAATACTATCTCTAACAGCTTAGAATCACAATGAGTCCTTTTAGCTTTTTCATCCTATGATGCCTCTACATCAAATTTTAAAAAGAAGATCAATCAAGAAACAAACATTACAAAGATTCGTTAGCCCATGGTTTTTCCCTTGCAAACCTTTTGAACATTCAGTTTCTTAGGAGTGGGCACAGAATAAAGGATTTTAAACAAAGACTAAGAACCAAAGATGTTATAAATCTCAGATGTCCCATCCATCCCAAAAAATAGAGAAGCTCTTCCTTGGCTATAGTAGTAGAAAACCCTAATGCACCACTATTCGATATTTATATGCATGTTAACATACTTATAAAATAAAGTATAGATACTAGGCCGAAGAAATGCATCCCTTATGGGACATCCGACGAAGTGGGAATATGATAGTGGCAAATCTATCATCATCATCATCATATAGCCATCATATCAGTGACCACAATAAAGAAAGCAATGAAAAAATTATTGATGGAAAGAAAGGGAGGAGTGTGAGAGATAATACCGAGCTCAGCACACTAGATAACAATAAGCACCCCTTCAACAATAAGATCGCAAAGGATATGAAGAACAATACCTCAGTTTCCACAAGAAGTCAGATCAGATTGGTGGCCCCATGGGATTGGCAAAGCTGACACATTTGAGTGCTCTCGTGCTAAATGAAATTTTAATATTAAATTCTGAACTCACATTGTGCTTAGATTGAAGCCCAGATTAGGCACCCAGAGCATACCATAGAAGCAGAGTTCCTCAGCACAAAAAAAAAAAAGAAAGAAAAGGAAAGGAAAAAAATGATGCAATGTTAGAAAGTTTTGACAATTGGCAGGTTGTAAGTGATTTGTCTTAGAAAGAGCTTTTGACAAATAATACTTGGCTATACATCCATTAACATGTGCGTGTGCGCATGACCCAATTGAATAAACCAAAAGAAAAGTAAAATATGGTAGATATTCATGGTCTCCTCAAAAGAATGTTCTGATACAGCTTAGGAATTGCATGTTATGTATGTGAATAATTCTGCTATCGTTTTAGATAAGTTAAACTGTAAAAAAATAATAATAATAATAATTGTGCAGACATGTCAACATTGCAACCTTCACCAAAAACAGTTCCAACCTTTCCATCTATTCCACTAAATTATCATATTATCCATTTATGTCAACATACAGACATATACATAATATATGTCTAAAACAAAATCCAATTACATTGCAAATTAATTAGCCATAATTCTAATTAAACTTCTAAATTCATAGGCATTGAATGCACGAATAGATATTTACCCAATTTACACAATCTCTTCAGTTTCAGCGTTTGGACGATCAATTCCTTCATTTCTTAATTGAATTCAATTGTTTTTCATGTTTCATCAGAGGCCCTAAAGTTGGAATCATGAGTAAAGGAAACAATATAAAGCTATTGAATTGAAAAGAGAGACTGACCGTACAAGTTGCCGAGTGTGCTTCAAAAGTTGATGCCTCACTAGGATGCTTAGGTAACGTTGAAGCCCGAGCTTTTCCATGAACCTAGCTGTGCCTGAAGCCTGAAGCATAGACACAAAGGAGTCGCAATCTTCAAAATCAAAACTACCGCTATCAAAATCAGTTTCTTGCAGCAAGCATGATGATGCAGCACCATCATCACCTAAGAAACCAGAAAGAATAGAATGCATAATATGGAAAATAAGAATCAAGCACTTCAGTCACCAATTAACAACCATTAACTTAAACAAGTCAATTATCTTTACAATAGGTTAAATTCTTTTCGGACATATATGCCTCAACAGACAGCCTAAGGTGAATATGACCAACTTGAGTTGCTCTGGTATTCTTTAAGGCTGTAACATATCATTAACACTCCCGAGCATAACCATTCCTGCAAAAATTCGAATATTTCAACCAAGTGTGCCCAAGTATTAGCTCTATGTGATACTTTCAAGCAAGAAATTGCAAAATCTAGAGCTAAAAGGAATTAATAGAACACATAGAGAAACTAACATTCAGTATAGCTGCAAATACTCCAAGAGATATTTCCACTTTTGGACATTATGGGGCTGGCAGAATAGTCAATCCCATAAATTCAATTATTTAAATTTGCTGGGAAGTGAGTGAGTTCGGTGAGAAGTTTTCAGTAAGATTAGCATTACTCAAGAAAAAATTGTTAGAGAAGAAGGAAGATAAACAATGAATCATCTTCGATAGCCAATAGCAAATAATCTTCTTGACGAAAGACCCTAACACTTCTCTGTATCCCTCCAGTTGAACGAGAAAGTCATCGGATTTAAAATAATTATACAGCAATAGACAACTGATAGAGTCTAGAATATAAAATCTAGGCTGCTGGGACAACCAACAGAAAGATAACTACCTTAGCAAAGATATATTCCTCAAAGCCCATAATAGTATCTCTTACAGCTTAGAATCAGAATGAGTCCTTTTAGCTTTTTTATCCTATGATGCCTCTGCATCAAATTTTAAAAAGAAGATCAATCAAGAAACCAACATTTCAAAGATTCTTTAGCCCATGGTTTTTCCCTTGCAATCCTTTTGAACAGTCAGTTTCTTAGGAGTGGACCCAGAATTAAGGATTTATAACAAAGACTAAGAACCAAAGATGTATAAATCTCAGATGTCCCATCCACCCCAAAAAAGAGAGAAACTCTTCCTTGGTTATAGAAGTAGAAAACCCTAACGCATCTCTATTCGATATTTATATGCATGTTAGCGTACTGATAAAATAAAGTATAGATACTAGGTCGAAGAAAGGCATCCCTTCTGGGACATCCAATGAAGTGGGAATCTGATAGAGGCGAATCTATCATTGTCATAATATAGCCATCATATCCGTGACCACAATATAGAAAGCAATGAAAAAATTATCGATGGGAAGAACGGGAAGAGTGTGAGTGATAATACCGAACTGGGTACAGTTGATAACGATAAGCATCCCTTCAACAATAAGATCATAAAGGATATGAAGAACAATACCTCAGTTTCTGCAAGAAGTCAGATCAGGTTGGTGGCCCCATGGGATTGGCAAAGCTGACACATTTGAGTGCTCTCGTGCTACATGAAATTTTAATATTAAATTCTGAACTCGCATTGTGCTTAGATTGAAGCCCAGATTAGGCACCCATAGCATACCACAGAAGCAGAGTTCCTCATCACAATAAAAGGAAAGAAAAGGAAAGGAAAAAAATGATGCAATGTTAGAAAGTTTTGATAATTGGCAGGTTGTAAGTGATTTGTCTCATAAAAAGCTTTTGACAAATAATACTTGGCTATACAAGCATTAACATGTGCGTGAGCGCGCGCCCCATTTAAATAAACCAAAAGAAACGTAAAATGTGGTAGATATTCATGGTCACCTCACAAGAATTTTCTGATACAGCTTAGGGTTATGTATGTGAATAATTCTGCAATAGTATAAGCTAAACTGCAAGGAAAAAAAAATTAATTGTGCAGACATGCAACATTGCAAACCTGACCAAAAACAGTTCCAACCTTTCCATCTTATTCCACTAAATTATCATATTATCCATTTATGTCAACATACAGACATATACATAATATATGTCTAAAACAAAATCCAATTACATTGCATATTAATTAAACATAATATTAATTAAACTTCAAAATTCATAAGCATTGAATGCACGAATAGATATTTACCCAATTTACACAATCTCTTCACTTTCAGTGTTTGGATGATCAATTCCTTCACTGCTTATTTGGATTCAATTCCAACGGTTTTCATATTTTGCCTGACTTATATGATCTGTAAGTACATCATAGGCCCTAAAGTTCGAATCATGAGTAAAGTAAACAATATAAAGGTATTGAATTGAAAAGAGAGACTGATCATACAAGTTGCCGAGTGTGCTTCAAAAGTTGATGCCTCTTTATGATGCTTAGGTAACGTTGATGCCCGAGCTTTTCCAGCACAAGTAGAATCCTTCATCCTACAATAAAATGAAAAAAGAAAGAAAGCAGCAGAGAAAAACAAAAAGAAAGACAGCAAAACGAGAAAAGAAAGAAGGCAAATAAGTCATATCAGTATAACTAGCTTTAATGTTATATTGTAAGTTATTAATCTTCTTATCGATGACTAACATGTTATATAATAATGTCATGAACATTTTTCATCAAATGTATTCCCTGCAAACCAGCAATGGGGTCAAGGACATAATGTCCTGCCCAAGTCAGGGGTCAAAGTTTAAAGAGACCTAACAAATGAAAACGGGGGTAAGGCTTGTGGAAGAAGATAGAGTGGCCAGAAAGTTGCGTGAGCAAGTGTGAAATCATTTATAACGCTACAGAATAACCATATATTCTCATTGTGTACGTTCCGTTACATGAACCTTGCAAACATGCCTAAAGTTAAAACAGTCAAGATAGAAATCCAAACTCCCCACGCTACTCTGCTAAACTATCAGAGTTTTATGATTCCCAAATCATACAAATTGAATCTCATTACAAGCTAAAGTATAATCAAACACATGAATAACAAAAAGTTCAAAGAGCATCCAAGGGAAATATCCATGAAGATTAGTTGCTAACTAAAGGAGTCGCAATCTTCAAAATCAAAACTACCGCCATCAAAATCGGTTTCTTGCAGCAAGCATGATGATGCAGCACCATCATCACCTAAGAAACCAGAAAGAATAGAGTGCGTAATATGTACGTCATCGTCTTCCCCAACATAATGATGTTGTTGCTCACAACCAACCGAATACCCATCATCACCAGTATTGATTTGATCTTCAGTGAAACAGGAATCATCAAGGGCATAAAGAAGATTTTCAGACAAAGGCACATGGACAGGAACATGAGGTGGGGGTGCTGTGACTTGAACAGTCTCTTCTGTCCTTGATTCCGTTTTGATTTCTTCAACTGGCGTTTAACTGGTTTAGCCTGAGGGTTAGATTGGACAGATTTCCTCTTTCTACCGCAGTTTTTCTTGTTCTTTTTTTTCGAATTCGGCACAACACAGTATAATGAGGAGCATTCTGCATAAGAGAATCATCAAGGGAATACTCCATCATAATCCGGGAAGCATCAGCAGTACCTATGTTGGGATTCTTGTAGCACTATCTCCTGCGATTCCAAGTAATTCCATTAGAATGGAAAATGCGAAGGTGGTCACCATGCCAACGGCCACAATCGGAGCAAACAGCACGTTCAAATTTGGAGGATCGGCTTGTAGGGTTTATCTTTTTCAAGGTGGTAAAAAGAAAAGATCCAGAGTGGATGGACCAGCCCCGTCGTCGTCAATATCGTCGATCAGATGAGATGAATGTATTTAATTTGCAGAATCAGAACCAGAAACGGAAACGGAAACCATATCTTCGATCAGATGAGAAAGAGATTCTGAATTGACGCGTAAGGTAATAGCAACGGTACTGATAAATAGCAACGGTAGTAATTAGTGAGGTAACAGAGAGCGATTTGAAATTTGAAATTAGAAATTAGCGAGGAAACTAATTAACTGAGGCTTGAAGAGGAAAGCTGGTTGGGCTGACGATGGTTAATAGCAACGGTACTGATAAATAAGTTAATTATAACGTGGTCCATATATTTTATTAACAATATTTTATTAGTCCTTGATTAGTCCATCTATTTTATTGATGTTGACCGTCCTCAGTTGGTAGTTCATTTTTCGACAAAAAAAAAAAAAAAAAAAATCCTTTTCTGACGCTCAAAGATAATAATAATACAAATATTTTGATTTTAGAAAGGAGGGTTATTATTGAAAATTTTGCATAAAGCCTCCTCACATTTATCTTAGATTGAAAGAATTAACCTTACTTTATTTTTGCTTTTCTTTTTAAAAAACCCTTAAATTCAAAAACTTATGTTTTTTTCCCTTTTCTATCCATAAAAATTAAAAATGTTATATTCATTATATTTATACTACCAAAATGCAGAATGCGGGCTGAGGGTGGTTAATAGCAACCGTAATGATAAATAAGTTAATTATAACATGGTCCCTATATTTTATTAACAATATTTGATTAGTCCTTATAGTATGAGAAATAATTAAATAGTTATTTTTATTGATGTTGACCGTCTCAATTCTCAATTGGTAGTTTATAAAAAAAAAAAAATCGATTTCTACAGCCTCAAAGATAATAATAATACTAGTATTTTGATTTTAGAAAGGACGGTTGTTATTGAAAATTTTGCATAAAGCCTCCTCACCTTGATCTTAGATTGAAAGAATTAACCTTACTTTGTTTTTCTTTTCATTTTAATTAGATGCCCTTAAATTAAAAATGAGATAGTGAATTTACCACCATCAAATCAAAATTAATGACAACATAAATTACATTCTCAATCCAAATTTGTGTACCAAGTTTTCAATTATAAATAACTATTATTAAAAGAATATATGGACTAAAAGTTGATTTTTAAATTTTAAGGGCTAAGAAATCCTTTCCTTAATCTTAATTGTTCGTAGTCCTTAATTGAACTCACATGATAACAAATAAATTGCCTTAAAAATATTTTTTGATATAATTATAGAACCAATATTAACCAATTAAAATTTATCAAACAAAATTATTAACCAATCAACAAGTAGTAACAATACAAGATTTTTTGTAGAGCATTGCAAAAATTAAACCAAATAATAGAAATATATTTTGCGAACAATATTGATTAGTCCTTGTAGTATGAGAAATAATTGAATAGTTTTTTTATTGATGTTGATTGGTAGTTCATTTTTCAACAAAAAAAAAAAAAATCCTTTTACATCCTCAAAGATAATAATAATACTAATATTTTAATTTTAGAAAGGAGGGTTATTATTGAAAATTTTGCATAAAGCCTCCTCACCTTGATCTTTGATTGAAAGAATTAACCTTACTTTGTTTTTGTTTTTATTTTTAATGAGCAACGTTAATAATAAATTAACGAGTACTAATGATTTAGTCAAATATATATATATATATCACACTCATACTCGAAGTGAGGTGAGGATACCGCTAGGCTATCACCTAGGGGATATTGTTATCGCTCCTTTGTTTCGGGAGTTGCCTCTGCGTGTAATTAGTGGACTCGCTCTTATAGAGAGAGAGAAACAAGAACTTTGGACCTTTGTAATAGAGCTATAAACTAAGAATATATGGGCTACCTTATGCCTCTAGCCTACCTCCGGCATCCATAACCGATCTAGGTTAGCACTATCTGCTCGAATTGATCGACCAACGGACCTTCCTATGATACGTGAGATGAGGCGGTGAATTCTTGTGAACCTAAGGCGACTCTAGCCTCGCGGGTGATCGGCGGGAGTGGGGGTTAAATGGAATTGAAAATTTTATATTGCGCTCTTTCGATGAGTCGAAGAAGGGTCGGCAAACCAAACATTTAGAAATGATCGAGCTAAACGCCCTTATATATATATATGTATTATGCATGCTCTTAAATTAAAAATGAGATAGTGAACTTAACATAAATTACATTCTTGATCCAAATCGGTGCAACAAGTTTTCAATTATGAATAAGTATTGTTAAAAGAAGATATGGACTAAAAGTTGATTTTTAAATTTTAAGGGCTAAGAAAGCCTTTCCTTAATCTTAATTGTTTGTGGTCCTTGATTGAACTCACATGATAACAAATAAATTGCCTTAAAATATTTTTTGATATCATTATAGAACCAATATTAACCAATTAACATTTATCAAACAAAATTATTAACCAATTAACAAGTGGTAATAATACAAGATTTTTGCTAGAAAAATATACTAGGAACATTGCAAAAATTAAACCAAACAACGAAAATATATTTGTTATGATGTAAGATATAACTATATAAAGATGATTGTTTTTTATTTTTCAATAATTGTGTTTAAGTAACAATAATTAGAATAAAGAACTTTTGTTGTAATAATTTAAATTGTAAGAACATATATATCATAATATAAAAATAGACTAATTGGTTCGATACTATTTTGAACTATCAATCAAACGAAGACTAATATCTGAATTTTAATTTTTTTAATTTGAGTATTATACATTTTTTATGGTTTGTAATCGAATCAATCGATTTTATTGACCAATATCCGAGCACACGTAACAAACACGTGATGGTTAAATAACCAAAAAAATCCAAACTAATTTTTAAGCAATCAAATGAAGATGGAATCATAACAACCACATTTATAATGAAGAAGTCTCATTTGGAAATTTTATCAAACATCTTTTAATCAAACTTCATATCATAAATAAAAATATAATAAACACTAAACTTTAAACTCATTAAACGATATTTCATTCAATTTTCATTGCTCCTAACTCAAAATTTTGTTTACTTCTCTTGAAATGTACTAGAAGTGATAATGGTTTTCACATTGACATTTTGCAACTCTAGTCATAGAATCATTAGGAGCCTTTTTCAAGTTGTAAAAAATAAAAAATAAAAGAACTCGGACACTTAAAAGGATAAAATTAAAACTTTATCACTACCTCTCATGTTTCTACTCCTTCTCTTCTCTCCAATGGTTGTTGTCGAGTCTTCCACCACGCTAACAACAACTACTACTACCTTATCTACTAATCAAATAACACTCATTTTTTTTAGAAACCAATTGGCTCTTTTAATCAAAAGCTCATAAATTTTGCTAATTCTATTCTGGATTTTCATTCTATAGAAGAGTGTTTTAAGAACCTATAAAATATTAGTTAAGATTTTGAGAACACAATAGAGGGGAAGGATAAAAAGTTTGTTATTAAGGACTTAGTTGTTAATGGATCCGATTCAATTTTTTGAAACGAAGAATGAAATTGATAATATGTTTGGTTTAGAGGGTATATCGAAGATGAAGGAAAAAAATGTGAAGCTTGAAAGATGAGGGCTTTTAGGGTGTTTTATTGAGGAGGAGAAGGTGAAAGTTAAAATGTAAGTAAACAAAGAGTTAGATGGTTTGGGTAATATGGAAGAAGGTGAGATAAGAGATTTTGATGGAAAGAAAATCTTGGTGGAAATGATAGTCATGTTGAAGTATTTGAGGATGAAGAGGAGGATAAAGAAGAAGATGGATACAAGATGGTTGAGTTAAGTGGTGTTCATAGAGATAAAGAGCATGCTAGTATGGGTTAATTTCTCATTTCACATTTTAAGTTATGATATCATAGTACATATTACATAAAAAGACTACATGTCTTTTATTTATTTGGCTAGGTTACTATTATGTGTGAAAAACCATGCTAAATAAAAATTAAAAAAACTAAACTTCGGATACTAGTTTCTATTTGATTGATAATAAATGATACCATCGAACCAATTAGCTTATAAAAAATCAAATTTAAAAAACAAAAGATTTGAAAGCAATATTTTCTTAATAAATTTAAGTTAAATACAATAATCCTTAAATTATTACACATTTCAACTTCATTTTTTCTCTCTTCCATTCCATGATCCAAATGCTTCATATCTCATTTAAAGCGACAATGATGATTAAGGGATAAAAAAGAAAAATGTTACCATTAATTTTGTATGTTAATTTCAAGTGTTGATATTAAAATTCATTAAAACTTAAGGGATTGTTTTATAATTTTGTCAAAACTCAAGTCTAGCCTTATACTATACATACTTACCGAGTAATCCAATCAAGTTGTTGGGAGATGTACCATCAAGAAAGGGCGAGTCGAGTCATAATCTCAAAACTAGAAATTGGATTCTCCTAAATTGCACTAATCTAGGGTTTTTTTTTTTTTTTTGTTCTTTACGAACTCTTCTTCTTTCGTTAGTCTAATAATTCATTTTTTTCTTCATTTCTTGAACTTGGATGTATTTACTTCAAGAAATTTCATGAATATTCTATACATTTATTTCTTATGTTGGTGCTTGAGATTCTTCATAAAACATGAGTTGAAACTTGAAATTAGCGAGATGGGTTATAAGGGTTCCCGGTCGAGTCACCGAGTAACAAAAACAAAAATTAGTTTGTTCTTAATCTTTGGACTAAACCTCTTCTAGGTGTTTCTCTTACTTTTTTCCTTATCAAATACCCTTTTTTTGTGATTTCAAAGGCACCATTTTGAATTTTTGAAGTCCGATGGTAGAAGCAATTTCACTAATTTTGCAAAATTCTAAAGAAGGTTCGGGATCTAATTGTAAAAAACATTGCAAAATAGAGAGTGAAGATATGATCAATAGATTGCCTAATGACGTTCTTTGTAAATTCCAACTTTAGCTAACAAAAGCTGTAAATACCTTATCTAAAAAGGTAGACCTCGGCCTAAAGGTGTTTTAGATCCTACCAAGTACAATGTTTTAATCATTATAACAAAGAAGAAAACCCGGAACCACCAATCGAACATGAGAAAATATTTGATAAAAG